GCATAGCAGACATATCCTGTAGCATTGCTCCGCTCTGAACACAGCATCGTCTGTGCTATAGCCCAGCACCACTGCCTGCTCCTCTGGCACAGAGCATTCATTTCAGAATCATTAAGAACCAGAGTCCTTTCTGCTCTTATCTATTTAAAGACCTATGGCACCTTCTGAGGCATCAGAAGCTTACCTCTATGTGCCTTAACCTCCAATTAAATTAAGACTTAATCTCTCTGACCAAGAACAGTTATGCTGTGTGCTGCAGATCTGGAAGAACTGTCCTCGGTGGGCTAATGAAGTTCTGCATTTCTCGACAGAGCAACACTTAAATTGAAGCAAAGCATGTTCTGTGAGCTTGGGAAAGTTTTTAAATGAAAAGTCCTTTTAAACTTTATCTATTATAGTTAAATATGAGGAGCATCCTGCTAATCAAAGGACCTTCTTTGTGGACTCGTATGTTGAGATTTAGATCAGAGAGAGACTTGCTGAGTGTGACATCCTTCTTTGAGTGGCACAGATTTTAATGGAGAAAATTCCTTGGAAGTTCGTGGCACTCCAAGCAGCAAAAACGTTCAGATTACTTATTTCTCTCTAGCACAGTCAGAGAGAAGTAATATATATCACTAAGAGACTAAGATTTATAAGAACATGCTGCAGAGTAAATTGTGCTGTCAAGCAGAGAAATAGTGTAGTAAAACAGACTCTGTACAATAATCTTCTGAGGATCTTTGACACTGTGTACAGCAATCACAGAAGATCTGCTGATCCTGTACAGACAGAAGGCTTTAGCACTCTCCATAGCAAACCCCATGTATTTAATTTTCCTTGGCACTGAATCTGTAGATATTTTGTTGTTTTTTTCCACTGCCTTACATTTTTGGTAGAGGTGAATATTAATATATATTTGTAATGTTCATTTATGTGAATATCCTTGTTCATAAAGATTTCCCAGGTATTTTGGGGGCTATATTTTTTCTTCTGGGGTGCATTTCCATATAGTTCACTTTGACAGGAAAGGCAGCTGTCTCTCAGAGGTCACATTGCATTGTTCTTGGAGGAACAACTTGAGGCATTTGAACAGGAGAGTAGCAAAAATTTCTGGCATTAACTTCTGAATGTACCTACTGGATCTGGCTGGGATGGAGTTAGTTTCCCTCATAGCAGCCTGTGTGGTGCTGTGTTTTGGATCTGAAACTAAAACAGTGTTGATAACACCCCAGTGTTTTGATTATTGCTGCACAGTGCTTGCGCAGCATCGTGGCCTTCTCTTTTTCCCTGCTGTGCTCCGCAGTGAGCAGGCTGGGGGTGGGCAGGAGGCTGGGGGGGACACAGCCAGGACAGCTGACCCCAGCTGACCAGAGGGGTATCCCCATGCCATAGAGCATCACACTCAACAGTAAAATCTAAGGGGTGGGGAGGCAGTCATTGCTCAGAGGCTGGCTGGGCATCGGTCTGCTTGTGGGAGGTAGTGAGTGATTGCCACTGCATCATTGTCTTGTTTTTTCCTTCTTTCCTTCACTTATTAAACTATCTTTAGGTCAGCTGATGAGTTCTTTTCTTGCTCTTCCCATTCTTTTTCCCTATCCTGCTGTGAGGAGAGGTCAGCAAGCAGCTGCGTGGTGCTTAGCTGGTGGCCGGGGTCAGCCCACCCCAATGTACAATGCATTTGTCCTTGAAAGTGTGTTTCCAATTTTGTAAACAAGTTAAAGCTTCATGAAAAATTAAGAATTCCTATGAATCATGCGCCTAGCTACTGAATTAGTGAGGGCGGCATGAGACCTTGGCAGATATGTACAAATATGTTTGCTTTTCTAAAATTTTGTATTGAAGTTGCAACAAGCAATTGCCCAGTGGCAAAGACTGACTTGCACAGCTGCCTCTTGGTCTTCATGAGTTCCTTCTGCTCTACTGGTGGCCGGTTGCTTGCTCCCTGCTTCACACCATGGTTCCTGCTCTGCACAAACTGCATGTCCCCTGATGTGATGTGGCTTTCTTGCTGCCCATCTTTCAGGCATGGTCTGTCAGTTACCCAGCTCATGAGATGCCTTCATGACCCAGCATGTTCTTTCCACCTGACCTGCCGGTTCCTGGGGTACAGTGTGACTGTAAGCAAAAGCAGGAGAAACAAACCCTGCCCATCATGGAGCTGAATACAGTAGATTAGCTCTTCAATGGACTTGAATTTCGCTCAGTGTTGAATTACTCAATGTTTACAAGGTTGGTGTGCATCAAGGCCCTAGATTGAGTCAGAAGGTGTATAATAATGAGTTTCTTTTCTATGTAAACTTAGGAAAGCTACTTAATTTCCTTGTACCTCATAAACAACTATGAGAGTTGGGCTTTTTCCAAGTCATTGTCCCAACTGTTTTGTTCTGACTTTGGAATGTGGGTTCTTTTGCCACCATGTGCTTCTACAATGTTTTTTCATAAAGGTTACCCAATAGGTAGAAGGATTAAGAGCATTAATATAATTCCATAACAGTGAAGGGGAAATTAATTTTGTAGTTTTGAAAGGAAAGTGTAAATATTTGAACAGAATGGAATGCCCTTCGCATCTGTATTGTAGTTTTTGTGGTGTGGTTGTTTTTTTTTTCTTTAGTAAATTCACACCTTGTAGTGTACAAGAACCTTTCAGGAATAGTTTTATTTTAAGTTTTCATACTACCTCTAAGCCATCTTTTGTGCCGAATACCAGAATACAATGAGAGGCACACTTATTGCAGGGTGAGAGTTGTAAATCCATATTATCGTTCTATAATAATTATTAAATACTTATTTACTCTCTGTTGAACCTGAACATTTAGAAATCTAGCTAATTGTAATTACTAAAGTGGAATAATGAGCGTGTTTATGGATATGATAGCTGTATATGGCCCTGGTTTTGCAAATATTGACAAGTTCAATTTTTTGTTGTCTGCCAAATTTCTGAGGTTTTGGGAAGAAATATAAAATGAGAGTTGGGATGAATACTGATAAAATTATCATCTTGAAAGGGTAGTTGTTTATTTTTTGATTGTAAATAATTATCCCACTCAGAACAGAGACAGACAGTCGTACAAATGAAGTGTGCTGAAGTAGTACGTACTACTTTGAAAACTGAATTATTGTTAACCAGTGTAGCACAATGTCAGCTGGTTTAATTGTTTAAAAATCTCTTACTACATTTTAGCGAGAATGCCATGAAATAGATTCAGTATTATAACTACCAAGTAATTTTTCACAATCATAGTTTTTAATTTTAGTGAAAAAAAAATTCATGTAGCCAGTTTTATGGGTTTTAGTTACTTTTCAATATCATGGAATCATAGAATGGTTTGGTTGGAAGGGACCTTAAAGATCACCTCGTTTCAACCCCCCTGCCATGGGCAGGGACACTTCCCACCAGACCAGGTTTCTCAAAGCCCCATCCAGCCTGGCCTTGGAGACTTCCAGAGGGGGGGCATCCACTTGTTTGTTTCACAATAACACTTTCAATATTCATGGCTTTCTGCAGGTTTACGTGGGGGTCACCTTTCATATTCCTGTTCTTTTATGCAATACCTATTATTAAGTGAGTGTTTGTACTTGAGTACCAGGAAATTGTTTCAGGCCTACATTTTTGTAACTTAGTGTAATTAAAGTAATACTTATGAGAACACTCTCAGTTCTGGGGATAAAAAGGAAAGAATAATGTCCTTGTGGCACACTGTAGCACTTTGAAAATCCTAAATTATAAGACTGATAATGTCAACAAAGTTGATGATAATGCATTATTTGGTGTGTGTTGATGACCAGTACTGGGACCATGGCTGGGGACTGCACACTGCAGACTGGGCAGGAGTGGGCTCTGGAGTTGCATTCTGGCAAAGAGCCTTTCAAGTAAAAGAGACAGATAATCACTTCTTTTTTTCCTCTTATTTCTTGTCACTATTACATCATACTTTCCTAGACAAATGCACTTGGATTATTTAGTATTTCCTTGTGAATTTTTAGAAAAAGTAGAAGTTTTAGAAATTATTATTACATTATTGCAATGTAGTGTTAATGAGGATCACAGTTAACATAAAGGGAAACTTTGTTTCAGGATCCAGAGAGTTAAAAATAAGTTCCATACATTCAAATGACAGATAAAGTTCTTAATGCATGATATTGTTTAGGAAATGTAGCCATTCTCTTGTTTGTGGACAGGCAATATTTGTAGTTATTACATTAAGTTTGTTCTGTCGCCAGCAAGGAGATACACTAGAGACCATGCTAATTATAAAAAATTTGTGAGTTGTATTTTGGAAACACAGAGCTGCAGTGTTAAGATGGGAGAAACTCAGAACAGGGAATGAGTTTTGCATCATTTTTAAAATTACGCACTGAAAACAGGGATCCCCAAATCATATTTTTCACTTGAATTAACCATCTGATTTTTCAAACGCTTTCACTGGTACCACACAGTTAACTGGTGCATCTGTCTGTATGTAGGTACATGAACCTAAAGCCAGGCAACATGTGTGAAAACCCAAAACTGACATATGTCCCGGAAGAAAAACTAGAAACAGCTGATAGATTCATCAGAACTCCCAAATCTGCATTTCAAAGGAGAAAGGTGTTCATGAATCCTTCAGGAAGCTTGTGAACATCTTTTGCTTGTATTCAATATTTTTTTAATTTGCTTGTTTGAGGGGTTTTAATTATTTCTACCACTGAATTAAAATTTTGTTTAGCAATCATAGTGTGGATTACAATAGATGCTGCCATTTCCTTCCAAATCACTGTATGACATATGTACCACAGAATCATCAGATTTAGAATATTACAAATTGAAATTGTTGGATGTTGATGGAAGGATAGGTGAAGAATTCCTGGATTTTGTTCCCAACTCTGTGAACTTGAAATATTTTAAACATTTTTGTTTAGTTGGAGAGTTGCTTATGAAGTGGATGAATGACCTTGAGTTTTCATAATTAGCTGTCTTTCTTTGTTATTGCCTAATACAGCAGAGCTTATGTGTGTTTTTTTTCTTTTGGCTTTTTCAGGTATGAATACAAGCAAGAGTGAGACAGTGAAAGAGCATCCATTAAAACCCTCTAGAAGATCTATGCCATGCCTAGCCCAGAGCCAAACACATCCTCAGAGTCTGAGCAAGCATTCGTCGTTTCTGCAACCAAATCGCGTGCAGCCTCAGCCTCTAAGTGCAGGGACATCTACAGCTGCCGTGGATGTAGTGTCAGAACGAGGTAGGAGGCTTTTTTGTTTCAGGGGCTTGTTCCAACACTGGGAATGGAAGGGATCTGTGGGAACATCATTTGAATTCCTGTGATGTCTTATGTGTAATTTTTTAGCATCTTTCATTAAATTGTAGGGGTATTTGATAAGCTTTGATTTGTTTAGGTTTCTGTGGTTTGTTGGAGAGACCTTTTTGCATGTAACAGCTGGATGAATATGGTACCGAGTTCTTGAGTGAATCTCTATAGAGTGAGGCTTAAACTAAGTTTTACCTATTTTTCTGAATTACAAGATTATTTCCCTCTCTCTGAAAACAAGATGAGAAAGTGCACCTGTATGCTGGGGAAGAGCACAAAGGTTTCTGTAGTCTGTCCTAGGAGAAAGGGGGAAAAAAAATTTAGGCTTTTGGCAAGAAATGTCTTATAATATGAGCATGCAGGAGCAGCTGCATTCATTCATGAACAGCAGAATCAAGGAAAAGTGGTATGGAGAGAATGAGAGAAAGGGGAGAAAATCCCTATGAATTTTAGCTTGTGTTGGAGAAAGGAACTACTTTTGGTCTAGGATTTCTATTTTAACAGATAAACATGCCTTAGCAGAGAGACTAGTCTAGTTGGAGATCCCATTCGCTGTTGCCGATGCGCTGTCGCCAACTGTGTGTGAACCCTTATAGAATAAATTAACTCAGCTGGCTTCTGCTACTAATTTTTGGTAAATCCTTCCTTAATTTTGATAGGCACTAATTATTACTCTAGTAAATTATTTCACTGAGTTAAACTTCTCTCAGGAATAGAGTGAAAGTCTTCATTAAAGTGATCTCATTCTTTTTTCCACCAGTGGAAGGTGCTTTTCAAAATTTCAGTCTAAAGTTTTTCATTTGAGTGACTAACAGCTTTTAAAAGTATATCCTTTAGTTTAAAAATACATATGAATGCTGATATGAATATTGTCTTTATTCCAGCTAAAGTGATGGAGACTTTGGAAAACAACTTGCTTAAGCTGTCTAATACAGAATACAGTGATCCGTTTTTAGGTAAGTTTGTGTCTGAGCTGAAATAATAATAAACTAATCATTCTTTAATTACACTTGCAGTATTTGAGTGTGGAAACACCATACTTACCCCGAACTGCCAGGTTTTTTGAAAAAGGAGACTAAATGTGACTAAAGAAATAAGTGCTGTCATAAATTTCCTGATACTTTCTCATCTTTTAGACTAACAGTAACGAGGGACTAAAGACAGAGGAGTATTTTTTTTTCATACACTCAGTTTAACCTTTTCCCATGACAATTCTTCATAATACAATCACTTGGAAGCACATATTTGAAATTCCTTTGAAATAAATATTATTTAGTTGTTGTTATTCCTGTATAGTCATGTTATTCAGTATTGTCATGGCTGCAGTTATGTTGTTAGATTTGCTTTAGATATTCATATAAATTTGCTTTAGATATTCATGTATAAAAAGTGTTCCAAACTGGCAAAAAAAAAAAAAAAGGCAGAAAAATAGCTATAATTGGAGCATATTTGTACCTGCATTAATGCCATTTTGATACTTTAATTGAGTCGAAGAAAGTAGGAAAGAAGTTATTCTTAGAATAATCCCATCCTTGCAACTGCAAAATGAGTCTGTATATACACACATAAGTAGTAATTTGCAAGTTCCAAAACAAATTAATTTTGAAATTCCCTGGCCATGTATTACCCATCTGAAGTACACACAAATATTGGTGCACCTTACACAACTACTGTGAAAGATCTTTTTGCTCACAGTCAATGTAGCATCAAACTAGAAATCGTATGTTCATGCTGAAAGAAAGAGATCTCTCACATGTTTTAGCACTGATTTTTCTTCATGCCCAAAATATATGATAGATAAGAGGCTCTTCAAGGTCTCCTAAAGAGGTAGCTATGGGAAATGTGAGTAAAATTGATACTTCCTCCAAAACAAAATGAAAATGTTCCAAAATCGTGACACAGACCAAAAATTTGGCATGAAGATTGTATAAGAAAATCATGTGTCTCAGTAAGGTTCCAGTCAAAACTACTGCAATTGGTGTAATTGGTTTCATTGCATAGGCAAGCATGAGTACTAGAAGATTTCACTATTATAATTTCCTTTTTTTAATATTGTATTCTATTTTTTACTAATTGCTTATATATATATGTGCCGATATTATTGCATATTTATGTATGGCAGCTGTAATTCTTTCTCATAGCAAGTGATGCACTGTTTTTCATTCACACCACCTAGTTTTAACCTGAAAAGAAACACAGAGGGCTTGGCAATTGAGGAAAAGATACATTGAGTCTCATCAGCTCAAAATTGTACTAAACTTTGGAGTAGGTTTTTCTCCTCTTCTGACTACAGCTATACTATTTGAAGAGACAGAAAAAATATTTAAATGGTAGCCCTTTGCTAACTGGATTCATTAATTTGCCTGTGTTAGTTGAGTCAATCCCAAATTGGATCACTGATATCTGTGAAGTTACTCTGTATGTACAGAAGTGTAATTGGTTAGGATGTTCAGCAACAAGCAAGAAAGGAAACAATATTTATAAATAAATCCCAGAAATCAGTAGTAAGAATTGCCTTAGATAAAAATCAGCATTATCAGTCAGGTTCATGAAGAGAAATCAGGGACAATTAAAGGTGCATTTAAAAAAATGACCTTTCTGTAATCCTTCAAAATACAGTTTGTTTGCACTTGAGGGTCGTATTTATGTGGGTAAGAATTTGTCTGCAAGACTGAAATTTTGGATTTTATCCTGAATTTTGGGGGGGGAAGAGGGGCAGAGGGGAAGGAAAAAAAAGAAAAGGAATATTGCTGCTTGAAGTTTGATCACCAAATAGGTGAAAACGATGCAGCACTGCTGCGTGCTTTAGTTGGTACTCTGGCACTTTGATGGAGTTTGCAAAACAGGCTGATTAATAGGTATCATCTTCTTAGTGAACCTTTTCAAACTGCTCTCCCAAGAACATAAAAGAATACTGAATTAAGTGAATGTGGTGAATTTTTAATTAGGCAGCATCACGGAACTGTACATTAAACAGGCCAAATGTCTTTCTCCCCTTCCAGAATTGTGTCCATAGGAAAAGTGTCTTCCTGTGAGAAGGGGATTAACAAGCATCAGATAAAAGACTTCAGTGGAAAGGTTCTCTTATTTTGGCTGACTATAGATGAGGCCATAAATCTGTTGGACTTGTTTAGTTGGTGATGTTGATAGATTTATAAAGTAAGAACGTAATGTATTACACCTTTGTTACTGCTAAGGCAGACAAATGGGATCAAGGGCATTATGGATTTATGTTCTTTGTCATCTGTCAGTTTTAGGTGGCAAGTAGTGGTTTTAGTTTGCTTGAATTTACTGATTCCCCAAAGTAATAGGCATTGAGCTTCTGTAACGTATAACATGAACTATGAGGTTTCAGATGCACTGGAATGCGCAGTGCTTTGCCAAAGCTTCATGGATGTTCCCACCCAGTGAAGGTTATGATGAGGACTTTTGGATCTTACCTAGGTAGAAATCACCTATTTCTTGGATCTGGATGTTAAGTAAAATGTTACACATTGCATTTCTCAAAGTGTGGCTGTAGAATTTGGTGTTCAGTCCAGAGGAAAATCATGTTATTGTTTCTGCTTCCTTGAAAAAAACTTTTTCTTTTCCTGTATGTTTGCGTTATAGAAGAGTATAAAGTTTTGGTTTAAGTGACTTTTGTCACTTCTTGTGGCTTGAGTTCACAAAAGATAAAACTAAGATCAGAGTTCCCAGTTCACCAAAGAATGTTAATCCCTCCAGCTCCACTGCAGCTTCTTTTAAGACTTTTTTACTTGTCAAATGAGTGAAAGATTTGTGCTTTTTGACTGTTCAGATAATGCCTTCTTACCTAAGAACTTCTCCAAGAAACCAATATGCCTGCTAACCAATATAACATGGTTAGTGAAAAACAATTACAGTAATTTATTCTCGACAAGATACATTCATTTTTGCCAACTCATTTAGCTGCAAGTAGCTAGTCAAATCCTGTAACTACACACATAGGGGAATTTTCTGAACAAGCTTTTTGATGAGAACATTCCAATTTGTCAAGACTTCTTTAGAAATATTTATGCAAGGTTAGAAGTGGGTAGGATTTCTTGCCATCGGGGAGACCAAGCAGAGTAACCAGTACCCTGCTGCTGAGGCTGTGTGTCAGGGAAGTGAAAGACTGAGGTTCCAGTTACTGAATTGTACAGGAAAGACAAACTTCGTAACATTAAGTTGCAGACTGGCTTGAGGTAATACTTGAAATTTTTCCTGAAAGATGCCTAAAGTTTTTGTTCTAGTATGAAATGTGAAGAGTTCAAAGCAACTTTTATAGAGCCAGTAGAACTATTTACTGCCTAGGTATATAATCTTTGATGCCAGACACAGGAGAGATGCTTATGTGAGATGACAGAGATGGTCAGGCTAAGTCTCAGTGTGGTATTTTAGGTAACAAGAACAGTGTACCTGTGATACAGGACTTACCTGGATTACTCTTTCATGTTAATGCAATAGTCACAAATACCTGAAAGGCATAGATTTAGCAAAAGAGGAAAAGTCTTTTTCATACTTTTTTAGAATTGAGTGTGAGGATCTTATAAGAGGTAAATACAAGAAAAAATGAAAATGCTTATGTTGTATTTGTAGATACATGTAAATTTGTGTTACACAAGAATCTGGACTTTAAAGTCTGAACTCTTTGCTATAACAATATAATTCCAGTGTCACCCATCTTTTAATATGTTTGAAAGTCACACCAATAACATTCAGACATTTGACATTCATTCTCTCAAAGGGAATTCAACATTATACTTTGCTTCCAAAGTCTTCTGTCACTGGATACTTGCTTAAAAAATGTAGTGTATATTTATATTCCATTCTGTTTTTACTATGCTTTGCTTTTCTGAAAGACATGCTCAGTAATTACTTTGATTGTGCCAACTGGATTTAAATGACGTAGCTTTGACTTCAAGTACTGAATTTCTGGCTTTACTGTGGCTACCAATAATAGCTTGTGACTGTAGCTGGAGCTGGAAAAAATAAGTGGGGACTAGTTAGTTCCTAGTAGCTGCATAGTAACTACATACAGAGAGTTACATTTAAAAAAAGTTCTAAAGGAAAACAATTTTTTATTAAGTTCTAGAAACATAGCAGAATTGCAAACACATTAAGTTTACCTAATGAATTAATTAATACAGGAGCTGCTCCACTGGTGCGGGGGTATGTCTGTGTGCACATGCTTGTATAAAGAAACAGTAATTGGTAAATTTTTTAAATAATGCTTTTCTTTTTCCTTAAAGGCCATCATATGCATAAAGGGAATGAACTTTATCTTTGAATGGTCCAAATTTGGCTGGCCATCTTTTCTAAAAGAAATCTGCATGTAAACAATTTTGATAGAGGTTATTTGCACTAGAATTTTATCTCCATGAAGAGCTGGAAAAATCCTTGTCAGTACTCTCTGTTAAAATTGTAGGAGGTGGTTACTACATACCTTTTTGGAGTCTTGCGTGTGCTTTAGAAATCAGTTGACTGAGTTTAAGAGAATTTAGCAGTTCTTCATTGTTGAACTGAATATGAAGTACCCTTGAGTTAAGCTGAAGGGAATTTACATGATTTGCAGGAGAATTTGTTTTACTTTATTTTGGTAATAACTCCCTTTTTCTAAGAAGAATAACTTTTTTTCTTGCCATAACTGAGATAAACTCTCTCTTCTGATGCATAGTAGTGGGTGAAGAACAACTGTGTAAAGTGCAAAGGCTCACAAGACCAGTAAATAATATTCCACTGAATGGTTTGATCTTTTCTCAGATCATCCTTTGGGTTTAGCAAAAGGAATAGAAGGATAGTGGCAGTATTTGGACTGATATGTGACGTGTTTTTCCATTTGCTAGGTCCCTTTCTGTTGTTAAAATCACTATCGTTAGTATTACCAGGTTTGACTTCCATTTTTTATGTTCACTTTCAAACACTGTGAGCCAGATTTACAAAACGGGTTTCTTATTAC